CTCTCCCTCCCACTCACCCTTCCACCCCCCACTCTCATTCCCCACTCCCTACTGTCACACTCACTCCCCCACTCCTCATAGTCACTCCCCACTCTCACCTTCCTCAGTCTCATTTTCACACTCCCACTCCCCCACTCCTCCCACACTCCTTCACTCGCTCCCCGACTTGCACTCACACTCTGTTCACCACACTCACTCCTCATTCACCCACTCACACTCCCTCCTCACTCACCCCATTCACATTCTCGTGCTCACTCCCCCTTCCGCTTCCTCCACTGCTGACACTCATCCTCCTCACTCCCCCACTCATTCTCACACTCCTTGTATCCCTCGTTCCCGGCTTTCCCACTCACACTCTTCCACACCCACCTCCCTCCCCATTCCCCCACTCTCACACTCCTCCATTCACACTCCCCCCACATACACCTCCCTCACTCTCCCGCTCACTCCTGCACTCTCCTCTGTTCACTCCCACTTCCCTCCACACCCCCACCCACTCATTCCCAACTTGCTCCAGCTCCCACCTCCCAACTCCTTGCACTCCTGCTCCCCAGCTCACTCCTGCACTCACACACCCCTCCATGGACACTCCCCCACGCACACTCATTCCCCGTTGCAGCTGCATTTGCACTAGACCCTGCTCACACTTACCTTCTCACACTTTGCCACGTGCACGTTCTTGCACTCTCCATCGCACGCTCCCCACCCCACACGTGCTCACACTCATCCTCGCGCTGTACGCACCCGGCCCCCGCTCTCCTACTCGGGCGCGCTGACCTGCATTCTCCCGCTCCCTCAAACGCACGTGGTGACGGAGTGGGAAGGCGGGAGGGAAGGAGGAGGAAGAGGAAGGAGATGCATCTGCAAGGAAAAGGGAAGATGAAGGGATGAAATGGAAAGGAAGTGAAAAGGGAGGGCAAGGAAATAGGAAAAGGAAGGAGAATGAGAAAGGTAAGGAAGGGAAGAAGGAAGGAAATGGGAGGCAAGAAAAGGAAGGGAAGGAATGGAAAAGAAATGGGAGGAAGGAAAACAATTATAAGGAAAGGAGTCCAAGGGAAGGGGAGGAAAAACGAGAAGGAAGAAAAGGCAGGATAAAGGAAGGGAGAGGAAATGCAGGAAAAGAAAGAGAAAATTAAGGTGGAAAGGAAGGAAAGAAGGAGATGTGAGGAAAAGGGAAGGTCAGGGAAAAGGGAAGGTAAAAGGAGACAAAAAATGGGAGAAAAATTAAGGTGGAAAGGAAGGAAAGAGGGAGACGTGAGGAAAAGGGAAGGTAAAAGGAAAAGGAGACAAAAAATGGGGGAAGGAATAAGAAAGGCAGAAAAGGAAAGAAGAGGAAAAAAGGGAGCGAAAAGAAAGAAAAGTAAAATGCAGGAAGGAAGAGGGAAGGCAGGGAAGATAAAAGTATAAGGAAGAAAAAGAAAAGGAAGGCAGGAAAGAAGTATGAAGGAAGGCTGGAGAGGGAGGAGCAGGAAGGATTAAAGAGGAAAGACAAGAAAGAAGACGAAGAGAGATGGAAAAAAGGAGAGGAAGAAAAAGAGTGCCAGTATGGAAGGATAAAAGTGAGGAAGGGAGGAGTGACAGGGAAGAAAAGGGAAAGGAAGGAAGAAAAAAGAATAGGAAGGAGAAGGAAAGGTGGGGAGGAAGGCAGGAGTAAAGAAAAGGAAAAGCATGAGAAAATAGGGAAGGGAAAAAGGCAGGAAAAAGGCAAGGGAGAAGTGAAAAAGAAAGAAGAAAAAGGAAGGAAGGAGAAATGCAGCGACAAAGGGAGGAGGGGAAGGGAAGGAAAAGCAAAAGAGGAAAGAAGGTCAGGGCCGGCGGGGGCCGGTTCCCGAGGCGTGCTGTCGCTGCAGGAGAGCAAGGGCTACGACTTCGAGTCGGAGACGGACACGGAGAGCATCGCCAAACTGGTCAAGTACATGTACGACAACCGGGACAGCGACGACATCAGCTTCACCACGCTGGTGGAGAGGGTCATCCAGCAGCTGGTAACGCGGGGCGCGGGGGGGTGCAGGGCAGAGGGACACACACCCCCAGGACACGCAGACACGCGCGAAAACCAGCGACAGGGCTCCGGGGTTGCCCGGGTGACCTGGCCCGTGCGGCCCCGTGCCTGGCTGTGTCACGGGGCGTTCTGCAGCACGCTCAGGGGATGTTTTTCCCACCTCTGATGGTCCATCTGGGACACGCGCTCGGTTTCCTTCGACATCAGTCAGCAGTCGCGCGAGAAGCGTCTAAATTCCGAGGCGCGACAGTATCTCGTCCCTGGTGCGATGGGTGGCGCAGGCTGGGATGGAGTGAAAATGAGTCCATGCTTCCAATCTTCCCTGAAACCTCCGTCTGGGAGAGCTGCTGACCTCTTGTGGGAATGCCACCGCATAGCGCTGCTTCCACGCCGAGCTGTGTGCTGGAACAGCATCCTCCAGCCCCATCACCCCTTGTCCCAGAGCTTGGGAGGTGGTTTTCCAGTGGTCCGCCTGGCAGGAGCTGTAGCAGCCACCGACCAAGAGCAGGCCTTGCGGGCAGACGGCGGAGCGTCACCCGTGCGCTCGGTGGCACCGCAGGCAGACACCCCAAAGCTTTGGCACTTCTTGGGCCAGGTCTCTGCCTTGGGAAGCCCCTCGCTGCGCCCTGAACCACGTAGGAGCGCTCATGTGGGTGGGCGAGTGCTGTGTCCGGGGGTCTGGAAGCCTCATGAGGTGGTTGAGGATGAGCTCTCGGGGCTCAGGGAAGGGACACCCTTCCCAGATGAGGTGCCTGGAGCTTCTGGTGGCTCAGGAGATGGCTGCCAAGCATCTCTGGTTCACAGAAACAGGGCTGCAGCTTCTGTGCTGGGAATCCTGAAATGGTGGCCCAGAACTCAAACAAAGGGATGAACAGTTTGTGTCTCTCGTGTTCCAGGAAGGTGCTTTCGCCCTCGTGTTCAAAAGCGTTCACTATCCCGGTCAAGCGGTCGGTACCAGGTAAGTGCTGCCCAGGGGAGGAACGTTCTTGCACCCCTGTGTCGCTGTTGTTTGTGCCCCCGAGTTAGAAGGTGATGGAGTGGGTGGTGGTCTCATCGCGCTGTATATGCTGGGTGGAGGTTGGCTGTTGTTTTTCATTTCCTTTCCCTTGTTTTTCATTTACTACAACAGAAAATTCCCAGAGATGTTTTGAAGGTTTCTTGGTGGCCACTTGCAGCACAGCTGCCCTGGAACGGGGTTTTTTGTAGACGGCGGTTGGGAGAGGTTCATCTTTCCCTTTGTGCTTGCTGCTGGGGCAGTGCTGGGACAAGCCTCCGTTGCCGTGACGTTGGGCCAGCCTGCTGTTCGGGCTCCTGCTCCGTCGGGTTGGCTTGGCCACGCAGTGCCTCGCGCAGGTTTTGAGTTCGGGTGCTGGCCGCTGTTTGTAGACAGGTACAGTGAGCAACAGCCGCTGTGTTCCTGCTCAGGTGGCCGTGGGACCGCAGAGTCGCGGCTGAACTTGAGGCAGATTCCTCCCGGCCTTGCGTTGTGTTTATTCAGAGGTTCTTCCGCTCTGCCCTGCGGCCTCCCGTGTTTGCAGCACCAACAACGAACGGGAGGAGCTCGCTCTTTTCCAGCACGGTTCAGTTGCTGTGTGGCCCTTCGGGTCAGCTGTCAAGGTGATGAGCCTTCAGGCGCCGAGGGCTGTAACTCGATGTCTTCTTGCAGGCGCGGCAGCCCCCTGCTAATCGGGGTGCGCAGCGAGCACAAGCTCTCCACCGACCACATCCCAATTCTCTACCGGACGGGTAAGTGTGAGCACCCCCTTTCCCTGTTGGAGCCACGGTCCAGTCACACTCGGACCAGTGTACAAGCGGTTGCGTGCTTTGGAGTACACACTACACCTTCAAACTTACGTCTGTAAATGAAACCATTATAAAAAGATACGTTATTGGGTTTTAGGTGGGTTTTTAACCACGTGCTTTACCACCATATGCTCGTTAGTCTGCTGAAGGATCTGCTGCCCGCCAGCAGACCTGACCTCTCGTTTCATAAGCAAAGCTTCAATGTCCAGTGCCTGAGGACAGCACAGCGTGGTGGAACGGCGTAAAATAGCTCAGTACGGTGACGCGAACGGCACAGTTGAACTTGGCTGCTTCAGGTGGTGTTTTGTGCCTGGCGTGGCGGCACTCATGGACTTGGTTGTTTTCAAGAACAAAACTGATGGTTATGGGCTGTTCACTACCACGGACCTTTCCCCCCAACCCCCCGAATTTATAGGAAGCAGAATGCTGTTACCCTGCGTGTGGCAGTCGATATTTGTGTTGTCTGTCCGTCTCTCTCACCCGTGTGTTTTACCACTGTAGACGCACAGTTGCACCCTTCAAAATGAGAAGTGGCTATGCATTATCCTGTAATTCACCCTTGGCAGAGGAGTCTGAACCGGGTCGGTTACTGGCACTGGGGTATTCTCTGGGCGCCGCGTGATCAGGATGCGCTGTCGCGCTACGCCGTGCTGCTTCCTGACCGCGGCAGCTTGCTGCGCTGCAGCTGAAGGCCCAGTCCCAGTGAGCTCTGTCTGGTGGCTGCTGGTTGACGCTGGACAATTAGCAGTGATCCTTAATGTACGTATGTAATGCTCTTTGTTTCACCCGTTATCTGAAGCTTGTTTGTGTTTTGCTTTTTTTCCATTTACACTTTCAGCTGTACAATCTATGGATCGTTCTTTGAAATATCCATAAAAATGGAGGCAGGTGCCTACCAGAGAAAATCTAATACTTGACTTTTCAGACAAATCCTCCAGTTCCTTAGGAAAGGAATCATAACGCAAATACGCGTTCTCTCTTTATTTAATGTGTGGTTATTGCTTTCTATGTAGTGAAACAAATGGGATAATCAGAATTCCTTCTTGATCCAAAACACCACGAGCAACATACAGGAAAATCCACCTGTCAGCCCACTCATCCCATCCCAAAGGTTCTGATGATGCTCAGCCTATGCACAAAGTTGATGCCTTAGTGCAGGTTGTGCTGCGCGCTCCCTGCACCTCTGATCTCAGCCGGGAGCTGTAAATTACCTTGAAAAACCCCCAGAACAACGGAGTGAAACCCTGTTAGGCTGCTAATAATCCTAATGCCGGTGTTCTCCAAAATCCCTCTGGGGTTCAGACTGTCACAGAGCTGCATCTTCCCTCCTGATCACAGTGTGAATCCGAATTGCAGCTTCTGCTGGAGCGGGAAGCTTGACCTGAGGCTGGAATGAGCTTCCCTTTACCGACTTATCAGGGTGAACTGTTGTTAATTCACATTAAGTACTTCGTTTTTTTTAAAGGCCGACCCATGTGATGAACTAAGTTCACATCTGAAGCAGGAGAGCGCTTTCCTGTCAGAGGAGAGGATCTGATTCTTGTCTACAGTAAATAAATGTGATTCCAGCCTCGGGCGCTGGCAGCTCCGTGTGAAATCCGTGTGCTTTTGCCGGAGGAGCAGCAAACCAGTTTGTTGACGGGTGAACTATGTTTGCTCTCTGCCCGGGGCTGGTTTACCTGAGCCAAACATCAGGGCAGGTTTTGTTTCTTTTTACCAAATGTGTCTGTCGGGTCAGTGTGAAGCATTAGAATAAAGCTCTGAAGCTGAGACAGTCCTTGGGGTTTTAAGAACCCAAGTCCTGCAGATTTCAGTGGCACTAAGGCTTTTCAGAAAAACAGGCCACGTGAAACGTACAGGTTAGAGCATCTGCAATCGTTGTTTCATCAGTTGTATAATGGCACCATCTGAAAACCCCTCGTCCAGGAATCGGAACTTGGCTGCTGCTGGCGTAAGCAGGAGGAGTCTGTTAAGGAGCAGCGGTGCCGTAGCACCTTTGCGGAGCGGCCATGTGCTTAGGATCGTCATGATGAGAGCGGGCTGGTATCGAAATGTCCTCAAGACATACCCCCCCTCACCCCATGCCTGGTTTTCACTATACCTGTGTTAATTCTCTGTGATGTCTCCCTTCCTTGATTTCGATGGGCAGAGGTTAAAAGTTTACTCCTGTGTCGCTTCTAAATTCTAGTAAGCGGGAGGTGGGTGCTGTGGAGCAACACCCCAGGTTATCCATCGATAAATGGGCTGTCTATGGACAAATCAGCAGATAAAGAGCTACCACAGCTGCCTCGCTGTACCACTGACTAACTCCTCAGTCCCTCCTCGGCCGGGTGCTCCCGCGGCGCCTCTGTGCACAGCAGGAGCTCCCCGTCACGACTCGGCGCAGAACGTGTAACACGGGAAAGCAGTGCGACGGAATGGAGTCAGCGCAGGGAAATCTTGTCTCTGGAGAAACCAAATTTTCATGTTTTGATCGATTATGGGCGCGTCCCTTGGAGAAGGGCCATGGACAACTTTGCTGTGGCCTTTCTCAACAGCAGGACGCTGTCTCAACAACAGAGATGTTTTCCTCATTTACTGACTTTGTAGCTGAAGTGGAGGGCTCCAGACTGTTGGCTGAGTGGAACCTTCTTATTTGTATCCACGTGAAAGCAGTGTTTTGTCTTTGCTTTTCATTTACAGAAGTATAAATCTAAACATCATGAGCTCTGCTTACCGTCCCGGGTCAGCAGTGGGCGAAAGCCTGCATCAGAGCTTAGGGAATAAGCCTAATGCCGAGTAACTTCAGTGCTGTTACTCTGCAGCGATACTCACGCTTTGCTAGGTAAGCTGGTTAATCCACCCCTGCCCGTGCACGATGCCTGGCAGGTTATTTTGTTCGAGCAGTAGGTGTTTTGGTCCTCATCAGCGTTCATAGAATCATAGAATCACAGACTGGTTTGGGTTGGAAGGGACCTTAAAGATCATCTAGTTCCAACCCCCCC